CATCTCTAAGCAGAGGAGCTGGGATTGTGACTCCAGTGATGAGGCTCATACACCCGCAAAGACATGGTCTCTGCTCCTCCCTTTCCTTGCAGTTAAACCATCCATGGGTGCTCTTGAGGGTTAGTAGATTAGTGCTAAGCTATTAGAGGGGCCTCACCTGCTGCCCAGACTGTCTCTTGCTTATTCCAGTTTGTACTGATCCCTGATCACCTGCACCAGGGAACTATGGTCGATTCTACATTTCCTTCTGATCACAGGGTGTTAATCAGGCTGCATCCAAGAGCAGTCTTCCTACTATATTTAGAAAGTTATTACATATAATTGTATTGTTTCCTTTCTTCTCAACCCCCTCCAAACCCTTCCACAACTCCTCACCTTGCTTTCTTTCTAACTCATAGTCTCTGTTACTTTAATTGATAATAAATGGATAATATATTAACATATATAATCTATAAATATTAGTATATAACATATGTTTATTAATATACACATATAAAGTGTATATGAATACTATATATTGCATATATTTGTATTTAATACATATATATTCCTAAAAATGTTCATATAACCTGTGCAGGTGTGTGCACATATTTCCATGCTGACCGTGTGGTATCAGATGTTTATAAAGATACATTTACAGGACAAGTAGGATCTGTGACAAGAGACCAGACTAGGAGCTGAGCACCTTGAGAGCAAGTTAGCTTAGATATGAGCTATTCTTTTTTCTCTTTCAATAACCTAAGGTGACGCATTTACAGAGTACCCTACAAATAATTCAAGCAGACATATTCACATACAGGATGTATGAACCCATATTAAGTATGTGGCTAGAATTTTGACTGAGGTATCTATTCATGTAATCACCTCATTCAACATAGAACAGGTTTCCACCATCATCAAAGACACCGAGTTCCACTGCCTTTACCACTTCAGATGCTTGGGTCTTCGAGACTAGCCAGGGTCTTTGAGACTAGTCACAGGCTGGTAAAGATGAAGCTCTAGGACCTAGAGTCTAGGTTAATGTCAAGCATGTGTTTTCTGTTCCTCTTACTTGGTGCCCCTTGTGTTTACTGCGGTTTATTTATTACTACCATTATTTTATTTATTTTTCCTTAGGAATCCATCCCTTCAGGGAAGCAACAGAAGAAAATGACTAAGAGCTTCTATATTGGTATCTCCATTGCTGCCCTGCTGCTGTCGCTGCTTGTGTGCATCGTGGCTATCATCAGTAAGTATTTTCACAACGATCCCAACAAAGGAGATCCAGGGTTCTCTGACTACCTTAAAACAAGTGCACATGCTTCCCTGTCTTCAGATCCAAGACACACATAGTAACCACTCTACTCCCCAAGGGATGTGTTGGCACCCACAAACTCTGTCGGTGATTTCTGGTACTTGGTGTGAGTTCTGTTCAGTGATCTTGAACCACTGCTGTGATGTCTCCAAAGATTCCTAATCTGTGAAACTTGACCTCATGGAGTCCACATTGGTACTAACCTTAGTAGGTAGCTGAGGATGATCTTCTTAGGATCCTCCTGCCTCCAACATCCAAGTGCTGGGCTCATAAGAAAAGGCTGCAGTCCTTGGTGACACTGGTTTCCTAACCCTGCCCTTTGTCTTTCAGTTGTTGCCATCAAAAGGAAACATTATTTACATTATCCATAAAAGAAATGAAATATTATGACATGAGAGATTTAGGAAAGCTCAACATTTTTAGTCACTATAAGACCTTTGATGTGTTCTTTCCTACCGCAGGGTTTTGCTTGTTTTCCATGATCATACTGTGGAATGTTCTGGAATGTATTTCGTAGAAGATGTTAATGAGAGCCCGGTGTTGGTGGCGCATGCCTTTAATCCCAGCACTCAGGAGGCAGAGGCAGGCAGATCACTGTGAGTTCAAGGCCAGCCTGGTCTCCAAAGAGAGTTCCAAGATAGGCTCCAAAGCTACACAGAGAAACCTTGTCTTGAAAAACCAAAAAAAAAAAAAGTTAATGAGACATTGGTGGGAAGCCCCCTGACTAATGTTGGGACAGACTATTTAAAGGTGACATCCAGGCCTACATGACCCTTTCCACAAACTGTACACAGTGTTAACCATGGGCTTTACAAAGCCCCTTACTAACCTGTTTCACAGCAAATGGGGATAAGAATATGCCTGACAGATTTCAGAAGCTCCCTTTTATTATTTAAAAGATATTCATTGAAAAAGATTATTTAAGATGCCTTTGCTGGCATGTGCTTATAATACCAGAATTCTACAAGTTTGTGGCTAGTCTGAGCTGCATATCAGATCATGTCTAAAAGAAAGGGTTAGTTAGAAATTGAGTAAAATACCACAAATGAGTTCCCTTCCTTAGTCCAAAATTGTTTATTTTTCCTTCACGTGTTTGTTCTCCAACAACCTATTAGAAAAAAAAAAAAAAACCTAGACTTTTTGTTTGTCTCAGTGAACAATAATTTACCAATGCCAATTAAGCCATGTGGACGGATATAGCAGACAATGAATGGAAAGAAGAACCTCCCTGCAAGGTACAAGAAGGAATTCCCCAAAGTTACTGTGGATGTTTCCATCATAAACACAAGCAATATCCTTGATTAGGAGAAAATATCATGAGTGTTTCTGATGACATGTTCAGTTTTCCTTTCAATTTCTCCCATCTCTTTTCACTCCGATTTAGGTTACATCCTTATGAAAAAGAAGTCGGGGTCTCTGAGGTAAACTGCATGGAATGTGTTGATTCTTTTTGAACTAACAATCTGGAGACTGTTGCTCTATGCTCTCTTTTGTCCCCAAATCATTTTTTTACTAATTAATACATTGATTGGCTGGTTGGTTTGAGGCAGGGTTCACTAAGTGGTGCAGACTGGCCTAGAACTTGCTATGTAGCCTAGCCCAGGCTGGAACTCACAATTCTCCTGCCTGCCTCCCTCAGTGGTGGGTTACAGGCATCTAGGAGATGTTCCACCTATTGCTGGGGGACGGCATCTGAACTCTGGTTCTCCTGTTTGTACAATGAGCATGCTTAACTGCTGATCAGCTCTTCAGTCCCCAAAGTTACTTTTTATTCATGTAATTTACAATGAAATACTGGAGAAAACACAACACATAAGGAAGAGGGGAGAAGTTGGGTGAGATGGCACACACCTATTATCTAAACACCTAATCAGATAATGCAGGAAGACTGTTATTTAAGTCCAGCCCAGACTAGAAACACTCTAGTGTTTAAGTAGAAATTAAGTAAACAATGCCAGGTATATTGGCACACACCTTTAATTCCGACTATGGTCACTAGGCACTCCTAAGTCTTTCTAAAGGGTCACAGTGCAAAGTATATGAGTCATCCAGTTCCTAAGCCACTCCTAAAATGCACATCCTCATTAGGTATCTCAGTTGGGAGCCTAGATATTTGTCTCTCTGAATCACCCACTTTTGTGTTTCATTACACCAGTATCTTGAAGGACTCCAAGAGGATCTTCTTTAAAAACAAAAACAAAAACAAAAACAAAAACAAACAATTTTTGGTTAGTCTGATGCCTATGAACAAACTTTTCTACGACCTAATAGAATTGAAGGGCCCTATATGGTGCTGTTTACTGTTACAGTTTTTGTGATTGGGGCTCCTGGAGACCTGAGCATACATCATGAATGAAATGTTCTGCTCCTACATGAAAAATGATCCCTAGATCTTTCTTCAACATCTGCCTCTCTCTGTCTCTCTGCAGCTTGGTAGCATTCCGTATCTCTAAGGTTGGATCTTTGGGAAACACAGCGGATGGGCAGTCCCGAGCTGAAGACAATGTCTACATAATTGAAGACAGTCCTTACCCTCAAGAATCAGTCTCGTGGGCACCCTGAGGGGTCTTCTGCCTGAGACTGGAAAGCCTGCAACCGGATTTTATATTGCAAACACCCTCTACAGCTCCAGGACTATTTTCTGTGTGCATTCATCCAGCGGTGATGGAGAGGGTGACCCCCAGCTGTTTATACTCAAACTCGCTGTTCACATCATCTTAATTATTTTTATTTTTTTATGAGACACATTTTCTCTGTGTAACAGTCCTAGCTGTTTTGGAACTAGCTCCATAGACCAGGCTGGCCTTGAACTCAAAGAGATCAGCCTGCCTCTGTCTCCCAAGTGCTGGGATTAAAGGCATGCGCCACCACTACCTAGCTCCTAATTCTTTTTTCACCACTGATTCAGTCTCTCCACTCACTGCAGTGCATTCTCTCAAACATGAGTATTTTAGAATGCCATGTGTCCTTTAGTCAACATAGTCATTGTTAATACAGGAAATAGACTCTTGTCTTGGTTATTAAAACCATTAAGAGAAGAATAGGATGGAAAAGTTAAAAAGGCGGGGGAGGTGAGGATGCGTGAGCAGGGCATCCTGGATTTAGAAGTATTTCATGATCATTTCTTATCTATTTTGTTGCAATTTGAAATGTTACTATCTCTCCCCTCCCCAAGAGGTACAATCATGGAAACAAGCAGGTGTTAATTTCCCTCATAGATAAATAGAAGGGAGTCTAATGTCACCATTAGAGTTGCTTATGCTTTCTCATGGCTCTGGAAATATGATACATTAATATGAAGTTGATCATAGGGTAAGGATGGGTGTTTCATGTCAGTAGAGGTTTCCATGGTGAGTATGGCCTAGACAGGCATTAGCAAAGGAAAACAGTGGACCAAGGCATTGAGTTCACCAGTGCTATTTCCACTGCAATCTGACTTGATGCTCAGTGTTCTATACTCACCTGCTGGGTTCTGAATTAGGTGCTAGAAGGAGACAATGCAGAAATGAAGGGGAAAGGAGGGATCAGGACACAGGCTCTGCCTGAGAGAAGTCCTATTATAGGTATGACCTAGTTTGGGACTATCACTGGTTCATTCAGAGTTCTAAATGTATAATTGTCTCCAGATCATATTTATATTTAAATTTATTTCAGAAGAAGGACAAAGCATTTTTGATAGTGGATCAGTTTGTCACAATCAATGAAATATTGGTGTTGCTAAGAGTTAACAAAGGCTGTTGTGTTGGTATCTTCATTGACAGCCCTGTTGTTGAGAAGAAAACAGAGTTGCAAGAGGGTAATAATTTCTATTTCAGTTTGAGTAAACCCTGATTCCAGTTAGAGGCCCTCTGCCCATAGCAGAGTGGGATGCTGGATCTCAGTCCACATTCCACTGATGTTCTACAGAGTTCTAGGAAATGAATATGTTTCTGATTGGGGGTTCCTTAGTGAGATCAGATATTAGAAAGTTGCATTCTTGGTTTGCCAAATGGGACTTCCCTTTTATGCTCTAAAAATTACTGTGTTTTTTTTTCCCTTTTCTTTTTCTTTTCTTTTTGGTTTTGGTATTCAGTGATGCTTCTTAATTTCTTATTTTTCTTTTTTCTTAAATTTGAGGCAACTACATATCAAAACCAGCCTTTAGCAATGACCCCCTGATTTGTAGCTTTTCTAGAAATATTTGTCACGATAGTTCTATAGCGGTGAGGCCACCAGAGGGCGCCATCCACTACTACCCTCCTGCCTCCTTCCTGATTCCTGCCTGGTGACTGCAGGGCCTGCTCTGTTACACAGTCTTCCTAGAGATGCATGATTGATATGAAGGGGTCTGGAAATCTGTCTGGCTGTCCCATGTAGGATTTCCAAATCTTGCTTGAACTCAAGAACGTGGTGACAAGTGGCGTTCTGTGAAAGTATGTGGGACTCAGTGGAAAACAGGTCATATATGTGGCTCCAATGCTAGGTGTCAGTAGTAACAATAGGGTAACCTCTATGTCTGTTTCCCCTTGTGTTTGCTGTTATCATGTCCACACTTATCTTGGTGGACAGTGGTCATCACAATGAGGGGTGACTGGCGAGAAGTCTTTGAGCAGTGAAAACATTCCAGAATGCACATCCCTACCCTAGCAGATGTAGTAATAGGAGATGCTGAGTGAGAGCTGAGTCTATAATTTCCATATTATTGCAACCAGGAATCTATTTTGTATGTGTCTGACAGGTTTTTAAGATAATCTTGTTTCCCTTTGATATAGTTGGTGTTTGTGTTTTTGTTGTACTATAGAAAAAAATCATCTAATGACAGGATGATAGAAAGTTCAAAGATGAATTTTGTTAATATACCCACAGATAAACCAGTCTTGTTGATTTTGTTGAATTTTCTTTCAATCTTGACTTTTAGGACACCATTAATTCCATTATCTATAACCTTCTGTAAAATAGTTCATTATAATACTTAACAATTATACTTTATTTTTATTTTTTTTAGAATAGGGTCTCACTGTGTAACCCCCGCTTGTCTGGAACCTCCTGTGTAGACTAGGCTGGCCTCAATGTCTAAGAGATCCTTTTGCCTGTGAATCCCAAGAGCTGGGATTAAAGATGTGTGGTATCTTCATGCCCATCTTGACTACACATTTAAACTTATGAAACTGCATACATCTTATGAAGCAATAGAACCAGTCCTGTTCTGAGAGCTGAGTCATAATTTTGAGGGTAATGGAGATCAGGTATGAATGGTTGTCTGACTTTGGCTGTATATACTTTCACTAATAAAGACTATCATTTCCTCACTTTGAAAGCTGGCTCACCAGTTCATTTAACTCAGACACATCCACCTTACTAAATGTAGGTTCATAGGACATTGGAAATTCAGTTAAAATTTGTCACAGTTTAAGGAGGTGCTAAGTGCACTTCTCAGGGGTGGGGCGAGGGTCCATTTCTGAAGTCTGGTTCCTGAGGATAGGAGGGAATAGACGTAAAGAGCCATCAATTCTGGTCCATTACTGATTCCTTCTGAGGAGAGGATGTCGTGACAGCGTTTGGCTTCCCAATCATGACATTTGGGACTAAGAAACTGGCATGAGGGATGACCAGAGACCTTAGCAGAATCTAGTCTCCCCACTGCGAACCAGTCACACCCTGTAGTTTGTGGCTGCTAGAATTGTCTGCTGAGTGACAATGCTGCATAGAATCTCTTTATCAGGGGGAACTGTTTTAGCTCATTCTCAGGGACTGTCCCCAGGACAGAGGCTTATTAGAGATGAAACCAAGACATGTGTAGCCAACTCTGAAAGGTATCTACCAAATACAGAGGCCCCTAGACTGGAAGAAGGTGGAATGTTCAGAAAGGAAGCTGTGTTCCCAGGACTTATGATTCTGTCTGTCTGCCATCAAGGGAGTGAGGAGGATGGGGAGGACTGAGACTGGAGAGGTGGGCAGAGAGTCTCAAGGTGGCTGAATGTCAAGGGACCTAGGATCCTGCAAGTCTGTTTGAGAGGACTCCCACTCTCAGAAAACAGCACTTTAATATATTAAAGGTTTATATCTGCTCCCTAGTACACATTGTGTTAGAATATCAGAATTTGCTTCA